AAATAACATATCTGTTAGAGGGAATTTATGGATATTCCAGAAAGCTGGCAGCTTGATTCTACGTGGGGGACAAGATCGTACAGCGCGCCTGTCCTTTCATGGTAGTGGAGAAAAAAGAGTTTGTTTGTACCATGTACTATTGCACCACTTAACTTTATCTTCTTATCTTTTTGACTTCAGAGGCTTCTGATTGAGCATGAATTAGAAGAAAGAAAATAACACTTGGGTCATCAGGACTTCAAGTCTTCAGAGTCATCAGCACTTGGTCTTCAGAATCCTTTGTCTTCAGAAACATATGTCTTCAGCGTCTGGACTTGTTCATCAAAACTTATGTCTTCAGATCTTCAGAAATTGGTTTCGTTGACCGTGTATCAGAGTCCAAACTTCAGAGCCTTTTGAAGTGGTTTTCTACTATTCATCAGAGCTTGTGTAGCGCAGAAGCATAACTTGGTCTCTTCTAATGACTAGGAAACGCCTTTCATCAGAATTAGAACCTGTTTGTAAAATACTAAAAATAACAAACATTAGAGTACCAAAATTGTTCATACAAACATACTCATTGTTATCATCAAAACTCATAGGTATAATTGCAGAATTCAATCTTGTTCTAACAATCTCCCCATTTTTTATGATGACAAAATCATGTATTTTGATGACACAATTTTGTACATAATCAGAAAAGGCATTAAAAATAAGAAGGGTAAGAAATACTTATCCTTAATATGAAACTCCCCCTGAATCTAAGACTTGATAAAGATTGTATATCAGATATTGAGATCTTGAGAGTCTTGATTCTCGATGTTAATCATGCCAATTGAGATCTTGAATCCTCTGTGTCACGAAAAAATAGATTCCAAAAGAAGTTTGATTCGAAATTTCAATTCAGAGCCTGATTATGAACTTAACACTTCTCAGAGTCTGATTCCAAAAGTTGGACAAAACCTTATTTAACACTTTCAGATCTTGATCCCAATCAGAGTTCGTGATTCCTAAAAAAGAAAACAATTCTAACAGAAACAAAAGTTTATCTTGGTTAGAATGTAAGTAGCTCCCCTTATTTGAGAGAAGTTTTTCAGAGAATTTGTTTATTAGAATCAAAATATTACTTCAGTTATCTACTCCCCCTTTTTGTCATAATCAAAAAGGTAATTATGTGTGAAAAACATAAAATAGGAGAAATAATAAAAAAATGAAGAGAAAAAAATAAGAAGTAAACATAGTGAGACTTCAATTGAGTTCAAAATGAAAACATCAGATAGAAAGAAGAAAAATAAAAGAAACAGACAAAAGCCTAAGATTCAGAGCAAAAGGAAAAAAATCCTAAGAGCCTAGGGTCCAGAAGAAGATAGTGTTGGAGAAGATAGCTTTTCCAGAATCAACTGAAGCATGTTCTGAACTGAATCATTAACGGCCTTCTATTGAGTCATGCTTTCTATGAAGACTTGTTGCTCTTCTCTGATTATGCCAATTGCTTGTTCCAGACGCAGAATGGCAGGATCGGAAGATGAGACAATCATAGCCTTTTGCCTTGCCCTTTCTGCTTTTTCAGCCTCCTGAGCCAATATGGCTACCTCAGCAGTTCTAACATCATCCTCATCTTTGAGCGTGGCTTCTTCAGCTTCTCTAAGCGCTCTGGCTTCAGCCTCTCTTTGCTTTGCATCAAAGTTTTCGGAGACTCTGATTCCTTTTCTTGATTCTTCTCTTTCAATCACCATTTGAACTCCAGCAACTCTGGATGCTTCAGAAAATCTCATCAGCCTCTCAAATTCATAAGACATCCACTTCTGAAAAAGCTTCTAAGAATTGTCCAGATCCTAAGGCTTATTACTTGTACTTGTTTCTTCTCGCAGCTTCGCAACCTTCTTCCTGGCCTTGTTTCGAAACATGTTAATGCATTGATCTAAGGTTTTGGGGAAAAGTATTTCATAAATTATTAAGGCAAGCTCTGGTACATAATGTTTGGTTCAGATGGTTGTTCAGAGAGATCAAGAAGATCAGATATGGTGAATTATTTTGAGGTGGAAATTTCAAAAGTTTCAAAAATAGTCCTTTCAGACATTTCATGGTCAGATGGGGAGTGTGGATGAGTGGGTGAACCACGGTAGATGGGTTCTTGGTTGGAGAAAGCGAATTGAAGTAAACTTCGTGAGATTGATGAATGAAGGGTTTCGGAAACTGGTTGAGGTGTAAAAGTTTCATATATGGAAGTGATTATGGGTGAGGTGAAGTTTTGAAGTGGTTCTGATGGAATGGGAGTTGTGAGAGAGGGAATGGGGTTTGGAACAGAAACATGTGTTATTGAAGGGATTGTGGTAGTAACAGGATCAGATACAGGTGTGGGGATGGTAGATGGGGGAACAAAAAAGATGGAAAAGAATAGGTGTAATGGAAATTGTAGTGGATGATAATGCATTAACAATGTTTGAAACAACTTCAGAAACAGATACAGAAGTAGTAGACTTACTTGACGTTTCTGGATAAGCGGCCATAGACACATTCTTAGAAGCTTCAGACTTCTCCTTCTTCTTCTTCCTTCCAGGCTCAGAAGCCTCTGAACTACTCTTCCTCTTTTCTCTTGAAGGATCAATTGAAACCAGAGGAGGGGGAAATCATCGTATCTGAAGCTGAACATATCATGCCCTTCTTCCATCATCATCTGCACATAAGCAGTAATGCCATCTGGACTATCTCCCTTGGTAAACAGAGGGAAGTTCTCCATTGAAAGTCTTTGGTTAGTGATGTTAGCAGAAGGAACCTTCAGAGGATTAACATTGACTGTCATGTTTCTGGTTTTATTTAATTTATAGTATTAGGTCATTTTCGGAAATACATCTCTGAATTAGCCTTTAAGTAAAATGAAGAAATGGTTAATTCTAAGATGTATATCTGAAAATGTCCTAAATCCACTTTACAAATGCATCTTCAATTAATCTTAAAGTAAAATGAGTAAATGGTGCGTATCTCCAAATATAAGAGGATATTTTTTTATTTGTCGTCAGGGATCTGGGAGTAAGTGACATATTGTAAAGAGAAATCCCATGAATTTGATTTGAACCCTCAAATTTTTAGTCCTAACTTGTGACCATCATAAATTTACTCTAGTTCACCATCCTAAAATTAATGTTTTAAAATTCAGACCGCCATCGACCCGATCAAACTATTGGATCATTGGGTTAATGGTCGAACTAGTGGATCATTGATCGGACCGCGTGAATTCTAATAATGTGAAAATATAAATTTTTTTTTTCTTTTATAACATAATTTTTTAAAACTTTTGTTAGTTTAAAGTATTATTATGTAATATAATTAATTTTTTAATATTTTAAATTTATTATATTATTATATGGTATGATTAATAATAAATAAGTTTAATGAAAATTATATTTTTATAATTATAAATTATATAATTTTCTTCTCTTTAATCAAATTGAACATCAAAAAGATTTACGGTGCAGTTGGTAAAACTATAATCTTAAATGATTACGAGTCTAATTCTTAAAATTTTACAAAATTTCATTTTTATAATTTTAATATTATTTAATAAATAATTAACATAATTATAAATATTAATAAAATCGAATTTTAAAATAGAGACATCAAAACTTAAAAAATGAAAATAGATTATCAAAATTATAATTAAATTAAAAAATAAACATAAAAAAATTCATCCGTCAGATAGAAAAATCCACTGATTCATTGGTCTGACCAATAAATCAGTCGAGTCACACTGATTTTTACCGAATCAATTGCAATAATAATCCAATGTCCTTACCTGACCATTTTACCCTCCGATTCATAGTCTAGTCAGTTCGACTGACTAGAACAGTCTGGATTTTAAAACTATATCTAAAATTACTCTAATCTTTCGAATATGTTATATTCAAAAACAGAAACATGAATAATAAGATATTAATTTATGGAAAAGAGAGTATATCTTTAAATATATAGAAAAAATATACTTTTGAGAACATAAAGTTAAAATCACTTGGTTATTTTTTAAGACAATAATCATTTTATTATTAAAAGATATAACAAAAACTATTGAATCTTTAAAATCTTAAAAATCCGTAAAACTCTTTAAAATTTTAATAAACTATATTAAATCTTTTGAAATCTAAATTGAAAAATCTTAATGGTAAACAATCTCTTAAATAATGTCACTATAATCATACAAAGTTTTTTAAATCTTCAAAACCTTTTCATCAAATAGTCGGTTGATATTGATATCTCAATCCGATACTCCCCTTAAGTTGGGAGTAAAAATAATCGGTTGATACTTGATATCTCAATCCGATACTCCCTTTAAGTTGGGAGTAGATTGTCTCTAATGTACTTTTCACTGGTTTTCATCCGGTGTTAATCCTAACCACCAAAATCAATTCATACAATTCTTCGGTATTTCATAACTTCATTTTTAAGGGTCATGATTTCACTTGAGTGATTCTCACGGGAGAGAATCCACTCCCCCTTAAGTTATTATAAAATCACTTTACTCTTTAGTAAAACTTTTTATTAAAATTAAATAGTACTGATGCAATGGTAACTGCTTATACTTATAATCCAAGGAAACTAAATTTGAATATCTACACAAGAACACGTGACATAATGCCTTTTTCATCCCTTGAATAAATCAAATGGTGCTTAAAAGAGACTTAATATTTGAACCCTTTTATATAAATTTGAAGAAAAACCACTACCGAGTATTTGCAAATGTCTTATTAATATCCACCTTGGGTACAAATTCTAGAGCATGCATCTGAAATGAGAGGATGCATAGTAAACTTGAGTTATGATGACAAAAGGCTTAAAACCTCATTATCATGATTCAACCACAATCCTAGAATGCCAAACTTTCACAAAAAAAGAGCTGGCAGCAAATAACTCAAAATACTCTTTACAAAATATATTTGATTATGAAGAAGAGATTACAGTCTCACCCCGACATTTCCTCAAATACATTACATTTTCGGCGACCATTAATTTGTGAGCATGCCTTCCCTCTAAGGACCATTTGAAGGCCTGAATGGAGTATAACCATTGACAGCACTTGCCATATTTGAGTAATCTGGATAGTATGGGTAGCCATCATTCTCTGTGTTTCTCATGCCTGCATACAATATATCAGAACCCGCCACCTGCCATTGGTTTGGAATCAATCCGTCAACATGACCGTTGACATAAGGTATGCTTCTAACTTGTGGGATGAAATCCCTCAGTGAATCAAAATGCCCATGAGATGAGCTATAGCCTCCTCGGAATCCATGGTCATGATGGTAACTTTGTGATCGCTCAAGCCTGCAAGAACTGATTGAGGATCCACGATCACCATTTACATCCAAGTCTCCAGGAAAGCTGAATTGTCGATTTAGCGACTGTGACCCATTACCCAAAGAACTGAATCCCAAACTTGTCCTGGACGTCATCCCAATGCTATGTTCATCATCAAGCAGGTCATTTATGATATCAAGATGCGGAAACTCGTCCACTAGTAATGCTTGATTCTGACGCCCGGATGTGCATGCTGGGAACTCAGTTAACATGTTGCCCATAGATCTGCTGTGCAGTGGCCTGTACAAGTCATGGTTTTGATCACCATTAATACCAGAGGGTTGATCATACTGCATGCTTCTGGTTGATTCTCTTTGAGAACTTTCAATCCAATGGTGACCATTCTGTAAAACATCATGTGTTCTCATGCCAAAGGGAACGCCAGACTGGACAACATTAGCGTCCATTCTATCAGAGCTCTGGGATAAAAACATCGATGATGACACCAAGGAAGATGCTTGAGAATAGCTAGCGGATGGGTTTCCGCCTGAACATGAGGAGCTTGAATGGGTCAGACTGGGAGCAGTTGATGTCGCAGTGTTCCCTATGATAGCATTTCTGTAGGATTGAGGAACGTAACTATGAGTGGCAGGTGAGGGATCAGGACCCAACCGACCAGCTGCACTCACTGAGCGTGCTAGTGGGGGAGATGTTTGAACCATTGAGACCGCGGGAGCAGCTGGCCTGGAACCAGAAACCAGAGTACTTGAAGGTCTTGAGATAGTAGGCACTCGTGCTACAGATCTTTCAGTTAATCTTGCAATTGAAGTCTTCTGGATCTCAGTTTTGGACGCAGTTGTAGCTTGAGATGCAGAGGTAAGAGGGGAGGATGGGACTTTATCAGTCTGTTGGGAGCCACTTAAAGCTGCTTTAGCGACATGAAAAGTATCTAATGTAGCACTTGTCTTGTTTTCTGACTTCATTTGAAGAGAGGAGTTTCTAGGAGGACTGATAGGTGGAGAAGGTACAGCTTTCTGTAGACATCCGTTGTCAGTAGGTCTCTCAATCTCAACAACTTTGTCTTGGATGCTGGGTTTCATTTGAAGTGAAAGAACATCCTCGTCCTATCAATTAGAAAAAATACAGAGCTTTAGTATAAGATTGAGTATATGAATGTTTTAGCGATGGTACATAAAATGCACATTTGAAGACATGTAGTTAGCTTCATAAATTAGATTGCTAAAAGTTCTTCAAAATAAAAAGGCCAAAAACCTTAATTCCAACATCCCCTCAAGCTCATTACAAATAGCAAATAAATAATCAGAAAACAAAGATTCATAGATCATAAACAACTCAAAAGTTCTTTGGGGTGGTGGTGGTGTCTAAACATCACAGTATGGGAGAACGGTTTGATATTAACACATGAAAAACATTGTACATCTGTCTAGGCACTCCGAATAACAAAAGAGTGGAACAGATTAAAAACAAAATCGTTGTTGATTAGTCCCAGGTGGTGGAAACAAGATGGAAAATATACATCTTTCTTGAAGATGAATAGTAAATAAGGGAAAACAAGCTGTTCAGTCATCCCTCGATTTTTAAGATAAGACCCTTATTTATGTATCTTTCCAAATTTAGCTCAAAGAGCAAACTACTCTACACCTCCTCAATGGTGAAAAAGAAACAGGAAAAAAACTGTTAGGGACTCTAGCTCTCTAACATGAGACGGCCATACAACATTGAAGAAAGGAGAAATAAAATAGACAGAAAGGAAAGACATTTATAATCAGTTAGAAATGAACAGATAAGCCTGGAGAAGAACTTTTTTTAAACACTTTGACAAGTATTTCCAACAAGAGTAGAAATGAGACAACCTTTTTGACAACATGCTTCTCAGCCCACTTTAACCGGTCCTTCAAGGTAACGACAGCACCCTCAAACTCATTTTTTCCAACCTTGCCATTTCCAGACTCTTTGTTAATAACCCCAGCATGTGCAGCAGCAACAGATGACTGACTTTTTACTTGATTCGTCCAACCACCAGTGTCACATGATGCTTTGCCTTTGCTCTTACCTCTACAATAAAAAATGCCAAAACAAATTAACACTTCCCACATATCATTAATACCTGTCTACAACAACAACAAAAGGAGAACATTAAGCTAAATACTTGCCTGCTAGGTGACTTCTGGACTTTACAATTTGAAAAGGTGCTCCCCTTGTAGGGGTCAATCATGACTACTGATGGTGGCAAAGAATCGGAAGAACACGTTGAAGAACTATCATCTATTGCCGAGTTGCACCTTTTAGCAGACGTTCCATTTTGTTTGGATGAAACACCACCAATGCCATTGTTACTGGCCTCAGTTGGAGGATGAACTTCTGATGCATCAGTGTCCCAATTAACAGGACTAGTATCTCTGTCTTCTGAATCCGGCTGTAGCACTTCAGCAACTCCATCCACAGAATCAGACACATCAGAAATATCTTCCACAGCATCAGGCTTTTCAGATAGAGTTTGAGCTTCCTCGTTAGAATCCATTTTCTCATCAACAGCATTGTCTTCCTGGCTCGTCTCATGCACAGTCATAATAATCCTCTCCTCTCTCACTTTATCCTTTACTTTCCTATTATTCCGCTTTTGTTTGGCCTGTGGTGAAAAGAAAGGGATACATGTCAGCAATTAAAATGAAAATCCACCAACAACTCTCTTTACCTCTTGTACATGGCATGGCGTAGGAAAATGAGATATCAACAGAAAATCTTGGGAGTAATAATTGGATTGAAAAGTGGTTATTGATTAAGAACAAATTTGAGTAATTGTTCCTAAATATTTTATCCGAAAGTTCACAAATCAAACAAAAAAATATGGATACGGCTTCTCAGCTTACAAACATACAAATTGAAATTTCAATTATTTAACATTGTGTCCTTAGTTTATTACTTATGTTGTGTATCATTGAAGTTCTACTATCATTGTTTTTCAAAATCTATTTATTAAGTCAGAAGGCCATCATCTGACGTTAATGGACTTGGATGGCTCTGCTTGAAAAACTAATTTAATGCTTGAGATGCCAGGGTTATCAAGCGAATACCTTAAAATCCTAGGGAGATATTGTAATCAGTATAAGTCAACAAAACTTCAGATCTAAAGCTTTCTGGCGTTCTAGAACCAAATTTCGATGTTCCAATTTAATATCCTACCTTCCTTAACGACTTCCCCACTGTGCTGCATTTTTTCTTTGTAGTACATCACTGCTCTGCTTTTACTATTTCTTATGTTGCATCAAATATCAAAATGCAATCTATAGGCAGGCAAGGAAGGTAAAGATGCAACAGATCTTAAACAAGCAACTCAACATAAATATTGGCAAATCATAAATCTTAATTAACTTTTGGCATTCAAAAAGGATAACAATCAAATTTCTTATGAGAAAGCTTTTAAGCAAAAAGTTCCCAAGAATATAAGCAAATTCAAACATGGTAGTTTTTTTCCCACTAGGTGGAATTGGTCACATGGATTAAGTTATACCATAATGTTTAGCCATGAACTAAATCCATTAAAAATTCTTAATAATATGGCCTATAATTTTCCTTAGTCTCTTTCTATCACTAACTATTAGATTGTCCTCCATCTGATCAGCCCAGAAAAATTGGTATTCCTTATAAACCAATAATCCAATAATGTAAAATTCCATTACACAACAAGGTTCAATATGCAAACTTACCAGCCATGATAGCTACCAAATCAGAAATTAGATGACTACATCAATACCATGTCAGAAAAGAGTTATATGTTGGCTACATTTACCAAGCCTATCTACCCAATTATTTGTTTGTGGTCTTAAAGAATTTTGGGCAAGGCCTACTCAACCCTCAGAACGAGATCAAGATGCGAGGATTTTCCAAGCCGTCTAAGGACTAACTTGACCATATCTCAAGTCGACATGGCGTCTAAACACATCTCCTCACAATCACAACAGGATATCCGAAGCATGGATTACCGTGGTTGGTCCATTACTATAGATCTTAACACACTTTTGAAGTTGACTTAGACCTAAGTCAACTCCAAAAGCTAGTTTAAGAGGTGAAGATGTTCAAGCCTTCAAAGGATAATCCAGCCACAACTCTAATAGGTGTAGGATTTCAACAAATCTAAGATAATTGTCATCTATAACACTTTTTCCTCTGATAATCTTTGGTACTGGAACTTATGAGAATCATTTAATCTGGCCTCTATTGACTTCTAAAATCATAATATTAACAATTTCAGGCAATTGAATTTCAGTCTGACAAATAGTCAAAACATATTGTTAACAAAAGAACAAGATGATATACTAGCAAATGTGAAATCAATATTTAGATATTTAAAGATTCCTTAACAATGCACTTTCAATCTGTAACAACCTGTTTTTTCTTTGATTTCTTTTCCCTCTCATTGACTCCACGTTTTGTTTTCTGATCGTTTTCAGCTTGCCATGATGCCTCTTCTTCACGAATGAGTTCTTCTTGTCTCTTTAGAGCAACAGCTTCCTGATAAGCAACCTCAATTTTGTTGCTGTACCCATGACATTAGGAGTTAGGATTTCTAACTAATTGTGTTCAATACATATAGAAATAAGGTGGTGCAGTCATAGTGAAACAAAAAGCATGCCTTCTTTAATCCCCAGATACACTATTAAGAACTTCTAAATTTTTCATTCGTCCTAAATCATCAGTTCTCTTTTAATAATGAAATTCCACATACTTTGTAACAAGATTACTTCATATTCATGCATAACATAACCATTGAAGATGTGACGCACAATGGAGGAAATCAATTCTCCAGCAAGTATATCATACATTGAAAACGTATGTAAGCATATACCCATATTTTATTTTACATGGGAGGTGATTAGTTTGATCCTTGGTAGACCCTTAAGTTCCCCGTATCAAACACTGGTTAACACCTAATCATGACAAACTAGGATCTGTTTCTCAACTTTCTACAATTATCGCCTCTCTAAGTCAGGCCCTCATTGCATGTTATTAAGTCAACAACTCATGGAAAGCAACATGGAGGACATGTCAGAGAAGAGAATTTACAAAAATACATTTACTTTTTCATAATAAAGTAATTATATGCACTACATTTTCTTGAGGATAAATCACCAGGGAACCCAAATTTATAATTACAACACTATCTGAAACAATTGGCTTCAAGCTAATGCTAAAGCAAGTAAGCAAGGATTCATATTGAAGCTTTAGGGCGTCGAGTCATTTAGTGCAAACAAGAATGTTATTATCTATGAAAGATCATGTACCAGACCAAGATTTGAACAGAAAAACTTTTACAATTCCAAACGTACATGGGAATCAAAAAGAAACGGCCATACCATGGAAGTACATGGGAATCCAAAAGAAACAGCCAAACCATGGCAATACCTTGAAATCACAAAGGAGCTATCCATGCATTAACCATTTCTTACAGATTACTGATTAAACTAGTGGAGTCTACTTTCCCACTATATTAGCAAATAAACAGTACCCAAACAGATAAAACTCGGTAGTGTATAAGCATGCCATTAAGTTGAGAAACAGAATGAAACTAATTACAAAAGTATTGTTTAAGTTACCTGAATATATGAGCAAGGACAAATATTTCCAAAGTCCTTCGCCCTAATTCTGTGAGACGCCTTTCATCACGCTCCATAGAATCTTTATTAAAATCCTCCCCGGAGTTTCCATCCTGTAAAGACACGGGAAACAGGTTCTTAGCAATCAAAAGGATTCCAAAACTAGAAGTCCAAAAGGTGTAATATTCTGGGCTACTAAAGATACCATTCCAGATGTCTATATGACTCACCTATCAGTAGGTTAGATTTGTTTCTTTTTAAAATTATATAGATAAAAATGTACACTACCATTAATTAACATCAGAAATATAACATCCACGAGATTTGGTTTTAAAAAAAGGCAACAAAGCCTAAATTGAATTCATGTTGGAAAGAAAATAGTTCAGTTAGTGGTGAGCAAATAGTTAAAAATACACTATCAAAGCTATCAGGCATATTCAATTTTAGAATAACTAACTAATCTATATTTGAACCTATTATTAATTCATAGGGATGAAAAATTAGATGGCCAGCTGATGAAGAATTGAAAAACCTATATCTAGACATACTCAATTCAGAATACAGTACCCAAGTTTTCAGTATAACTTTTTTCACAGATTTCAACAAATTGGCATGACTTTGATCTATTCTTTTATTCAAAACTCAGTCCTCTGAAAATCACTTGCCAAGGTTCCATTAATACCATTACATGTCAATATCTATATCACCATCTATTAGGTGTAAACATATAAATCCTTAGTTACTTTAATAAACATTACCCTACATCTTACCTTTGTACGATTTTGAGGACCCTTTTCATCTTTTGGAGGGAGTGGTTCTATAGCAGCCCTTTCAAGAAGGGGTAAAACATCATCCACCAGTACAAACATGTCTTTTTCAACACGGACAATAGGTGCTGTTATTTCTTCAGAGTCCAACAATTTTACCAAACCTTTCTTGCTAGTCTGGCCCTCAAGAGCCTTCAATCCACTATACAAGGAATCCATTACCAAAGTAGAAGTGACTTCTTTCTCAATAAAAAAGTGTTTCACTACAACTTTTAAAATTACATCTGTCTTCTCTCTAGACATCCGGCGCCTAGATGTTTGGTCAATCCCCCTCCAGAAAGCAAAGAAACTGCATATTGAAAATTACTGTTTAATCAATTTATTAAATCAGACACAACCAAGATTGTCAAAATCTTAAAAAACTTGTTTGTTTATGTGAAATCGAGTAATACAAGTTTAACTCATTAAAATAAAAATATATAACAGATATATTTATGTCATACAATAAATGCATAAATAATTCAAAACTTCAACTCAATTATAAACTAACCACTGACATGAACAAAATTCAACTAAGAAAGAAGAAAAGGAGCCAAATATGAAGACTGAGATGGAGAAAAAGATTAAAAATAATTGTTCAAACATTTCCTGTGATTTTACCCAAGTTCACGACAAGTTCATCATCCCAATAAACTCGGTTTCATTTCAGTGTTTACTAATATTCGAGTTTACAGCTGAGTCAACAGAAAGTTGGTGAGTTCACTACAAGTTGGTCATCCCAACAAACTCAGTTTCATTTCAGAGTTTACTAAAATTCGAGTTTACAGCTGAGTCAACTCAAACTTGATACCTAGATTCATGGAATCGTATCGCTCATTGACTCCACAAGCTAACTTGCGATTTTAGCAATCTTGGCCACAACTTAAAGGTCTGACACAAGTAGCAATGGATACTAACACATTCATTAATTAAACTGAGAAACAGTGTCATTACAATAAATTTGAAATGGTAATAATATAAAATCAGATTTAATTTCTAAAAGGGTGTAATTTCAGAATACATATGCACAAAACTGGGCAAAAGCAGCCGGGTGTTATTATACATCAAACCATGGTCAACGATTAGATTTAACAGAGGAACTCAACATCTGTAACTTTTCTTCCCAAATTACCCAAACCTTTTCAGCTTTCTGGATTGAAAAGGAAATAAGTCAACTCAGAAATAGATTTTCATGATTTCATGTAGATGTGTGGAGCAGTGTATTCAGGATTGCGAATTAGCACGTAAACTCGTACGATCTTACGTTCCAATAGCATACCGGCATGCTGTGATTCAGGTGGGATCGCATGCACCAAATTCGACGAACTCGTACGAGTTTTGGAAGTAAACTCGCTTTTATTTCAGAGATGCGGCCCCCCTCTTTTTGGGGCCTTTTTTAGAAAGAAAAAAAAACCCTAATTTTTAAAATGGGCCTGGATCTAGTCGGCTCTCACAGCTTATCATTTCCTTCTAAAGAATGACAGCGTATCATTTCCTTCTAAAGCCTGACAGCATATCATTTCCTTCTAAAGCCTGACAGCATATCATTTCCTTCTAAAGCATGACTGTGGCTTTCTCTTTTCAAAAAAACATTACAGTTACCAACATCAATTAATACTCTTTTATTTCACCATAAATTCTCATCCTCTATCATTATCATTCTTCCTTATTACTGTTAGAAACATAATTCCTCATTCTAAACACTATATACAGCTTCCTCTTTCAAGCTTTCATCATCCCCTGTTTTTCTTACTATCCGTGCTACGATCCTCGAATTACGATTTTTCAATTCTCTATCATTTCTGTGTAAACTCTAGAGTTTTTAAACACTGGTATGGAGTGCTATTATTTATAGGGGGTGTCAAAAAAAAATTAAGGATCCTTACTTTTATTAGGTGTCGCTTTGAAGCAAGATAACAATTACAGCATACATCATGTGACAAAATAGATTATGCATAGTATGCCAGAAGCAAGACAGTTTCAAAGGAGAGCACAAAGTACCTCGACCACCTAGCTTTATCCTCTATCAACTTCCCAAGCTTGCTCCGCCTTTCCTCCACAAAACGCCGACAAATTTGTTCTACATTTGTTAAATATACCCTAACAAGTTCCCTCCTATAATGACAATCAAGGCAACGGAAAGGCCTCTCTGATTTCTCCCTGCATCAACAACCAATTAAAATGCAATGTCACGTCTGAATTAAAAGCTCCAAGTTAAAGTGCATACAAAGGATGGCATGTCAATCTCTGGGGGTCTTAAATAACATGAATTTAAGTACGGAATACCTGATGACTTGAACTTGAGCTTTTATTATCAAATTGTCAGAAGTGTCAACAAATCCATCATACACCTTTGACAGCTCCATAAACTTTTTCCATCCCCAGTCATGCTCCTTCTTCCAAAATCGGTGCAATGTATCTGAAAAACTCGAGAACAAATAATGAGTAATGATGATAGAAAAATTGTCATATCCATTAATTAAGCCAATTATTGGCTAACAAACCAGAATATTTTGATTTCTTTGGGTCTTTATTGACCACAGCTATTGTAAATTGTGCAAAATGGCTCCACCCTGTACCACCCCAATGAGAAAAGTGAAAATAAGTCAAATACTATGGAACAAGCTTTAGTATGTAAAAGTTAAAAGTAACAACTATTAATGTAAACTGATAAACAAATTACTGATTACCTGGAAGAAGTTTGTCATGATTAGCTACACACAGAAACAGCGAGAGATGATTGCATACATCACAACCTTGTGGATAAATTAAAATATACCTGCCAATGACCAAAGAATGAGTAGGTTGACAAATCAAACATAATTTGGTTTGTGATGTTTTGATAGAATTAATGCTAAATGACCACAACACATTATGCATAGAAATAGTTCTAAAAGAGTAAGACTGTCAATCAAAGTGAAGCAACACATTTCCATAAGTTTATCTAGACCTCATACCATTTGTAGCCTCCAACCTCAAATGCATTACTGCGAAGTTCCCTTTTGGTAATCTGGGAAAACTTTTCTATCTTCCAGGTATATTTCCCATATAACTCGGAAGGTTTTGGTCCTACAAGGAGAAGTAAGAATTTTAACATTTTTTATGGAAAAAAAATTTACAATCAACCATGACCCATCATCAAAGGATCAAGAATCAGCACAAGCTAAATTTAAAAAGCATCATTTAGAAGAGAATATAATCCAATTGTCTATGAACAAGAAACAAGTTCCTGCTGAATTCCCCCACTCCAGCCTAGAAAAGGTGCTTTTAAGAAAGTTGGCAGAAGAAGGTAACATTTAATGCAACAGTTGAAGTTGTTGCCAAGTGAGTGGCGTGACTAAGACATTGTGGGTTCGAATTTGTAGAATCAGATTCTCTATAAAAGTTGTCCTCTGTGATGGGAGCTTTAAAGCACCAGGTTGCCCTTTATGGAAATCAGCACAAAAGAATTACCTATCTTATTAGTATGCATTGCCTTCATACAAAAGTTGAAACATAATTACATCCACTTGTTTGCCACACTTACTGGGCACCATAAACTAATAGTCTGAGAAATTTGATGATCCATGGTTGTCAAGATCTCGATCTAGATCTTAAAATCTTAAGATTTTACGATCTCACTCACCCCAACTATCCTGATCTTAAATAGAATCGCGCGTTGTAGCCAAATCTTGAAAAAAATCATAAATCATTTATTTTGTGCAATCTTTTCCAGTTTCGGCCATGATTGGCGATTTTCTGGCCACCACCATTAAAAGGTGAGAAGGATGACAAGATACATAGGTACAATAATTACGATTCGGCGGAGATAAATGCGTGCCTTTTGAAATGATGAAGTTTTAGATTTAGGGTTTAAAGGATAAACATCTCAATTTTACGGTTTGTTTCAACTAATTGACTTATGATAATCCTAATAATTGACCAAATATGTTCCTAATGTGTAAAAAATGTTCCATGTGGTTGTAATAAAGTATAAAAACTCAATCATACATGTTTAGAGAATATGAAAAACAGTCATTTTCTTACATATACACTTGCCTAGTAACATATACCATGTACAAATACTTTAAGAATATACTGTTATTTTTTTCATTTTAGTAGGATACTAGGATTTTTGTTGCGATCTTGTGTTTTACGATCTTTTTACCCAAAAAAATCATAAATCATTTGTTTTGTGCAATCTTTCCAGTTTCGGCCATGATTGGCGATTTTCTGGCCACCACCATTAAAAGGTGAGAAGGATGACAAGATACAGAGGTACAATAATTACGATTCGGCGGAGATGAATGCATGCCTTTTGAAATGATGAAGTTTTAGATTTAGGGTTTAAAGGATAAATATCTCACTTTTAGGGTTTGTTTCAACTAATTGACTTATGATAATCCTAATAATTGACCAAATATGTTCCTAATGTGTAAAAAATGTTCCATGGTTGTAATAAAGTATAAAAACTCAATCATACATATTTAGAGAATATGAAAAACAGTCATTTTCTTACAAATACACTTGCCTAGTAACATATACCATGTACAAATGCTTTAAGAACATACTGTTATTTTTTTCATTTTAGTAGGATCCTACAATTTTTGTTGCGATCTTGTGTTTTACGATCTTATTACCCCCTCTCGATGTTACGAAAATAATTGGGTAGGATCTTTCGATCTGCGCTACGATTTTATATTTTACGATCTTGCCATCATTCTCTCCCGATCTTACGTAAGATCTCGATTTTGACAACCTTAACCTCACTAGAAGTCTTACACAGAGGCAACTGAAACAAATTAAAGTATATATCCAAGTAATAGAAACAGGATGTATACATTAGGATGATTTGAAAATTAATTGGTGGGTAACAATTAATTATCTATCTGTTTCTATCCTTGCAAATCAGTGACACACTAAACCACTAAGTATATGTTTGGTATGGTATGACGTTACGCAGAAGTACAGCAAAAAAAAAACATGTCAATGCAAAAGCTACAATTTGTCGCTTCTTTTCACGTTAAATTTCAATTTGAACATGCATTTATGATTGTGAACGGGATTTCACGTGGGCTAATCCAAAAGCTACAATTTGTTGCTTCTTCTTTTGCGTTAAATTTCAATTTAAACATGCATCTATGATTGTGAATGGGATTTCACGTGGGCTAATCCAAAAGCTTCGCTTCTTCTTTTTGTGTCAAATTTCTATTTAAACGTGCATCTATGATTGTGAACGGGATTTCACGTTAATGCAAAAAGCTACAATTTGTCGCTTCTTTTCGCGTTAAATTTCAATTAAACGTGCATCTATGATTGTGAACGGGATTTCACGTGGGCTAATGCAAAAGCTACAATTAGTCGCTTCTTCTTTTCGCATTAAATTTCAATTTAAATGTGCATCTATTATTGTGAACGGGGGGATTTCACGTGGGCTAATGCAAAAGCTACAATTTGTCGCTTCTTCTTTTTGCGTTAAATTTCAATTTAAACACGTGCATCTATGATTGTGAACGGGATTTCACGTGGGCTAATGCAAAAGCTACAATTAGTCGCTTCTTCTTTTCGCATTAAATTTCAATTTAAACGTGCATCTATTATTGTGAACGGGATTTCACGTGGGCTAATGCAAAAGCTACAATTTGTCGCTTCTTCTTTTTGCGTTAAATTTCAATTTAAACACGTGCATCTATGATTGTGAACGGGATTTCACGTGGGCTAATGCAAAAGCTACAATTTGTCGCTTCTTTTCGTGTTAAATTTCAATTTAAATACGTGCATCTAGGATTGCGAACGCTTATCCAAACATACGTTAAGTTTAATAAAGACAAAAGGCGCCAATTATTGTCACACACAACAAAACATCTAATTCAAGTAGAATTAAATAAAGGAAAATGAATTTACCACCATCGTCTTCGTCAGTGTCCCAGTAAGGAGGAGAAGTAGACGCGATTCCATTCTCCACTTGCTCAGAAGATCTCCATTCCGCCAATGCTTCCCCAGTACAAGTCTGGCCACGCGAAGTCCCCTCCACAGACTTACCCACTCCAGACTCCTCACTCAACACCCCAGCCATTCCCTGATCAAAAAATATTTCAGTAACACTCCCGCACTTACATCATCTCTTAAACCCCACATTGTATAAAAAGACAGTAAATCACTCTTTCTACAAATAATAATAAAATAAACCATTCATGCTAGGCCTATCCATATCAAATAACAGAAAGAAAGACGCGTTATAAAGGAAAATTGAAGGAAAACAGAACAAAAAAAGCAAATAACAACTATAAACTATTATAAGCTATTCATTCCATTGAGAATTTCAGAAAATGAAAAACACAAAAAACAAGTCATAAAATCAAAACCCTAAAAGTGAAAAACAGATATTCAAATCAAAAAAATTGAAACAAAACCGAATTACAAACTAGATAAACCAAGCACAGCGAGATTGCAGAACCAACTCAATGAAGCCAAATTACAAAAACGAAACAAACCTAAAAAATTCACAACAACAAAAAATCAACGCCGGAAAGAAGAAGATCCTCGGCGAGAATAACCAGAAACAGCGAAAAAGTGATTGAAATCGAATAAATGGCTGTCGAGATTGAAAAGTATTGAAGAGAAGAGGTTAGGGGAATGGAGGAGATGATGAAAGTGGATCGAACCTGGAATCAAAAGAGTAGCGGTTGTGAAAAGGGTAGAAATAGAATCGAAGCCAAGCCCTGAGATTTTAGAGAGAGAAAGAGGAAGTGAGGGAGAGAAAGAGAGAAGGGTTGAGCAGCAACACAGAGCAGAGGCATAACCCGAAACTATATTATTTTTTTATAATTTTTTTTTTGTATTAATACAGAAAGTTTCCTTTTTGGATTTTATATTATTTTATTTTATTTCAATCAAATATACAATTCCCCGAAAAATAACAAAAAGAACGTGTAGATGATATGCAGTTAATATATACTCGTATTTTTCATTGTATTCAAATTCATGTTTGGATATTTTATGCACAGTCGTGAATTGATTATAAAGTTATTAATTTTGATTAAAAGTGAGTTAAATATAATTTAATTTATATTTAAATATATTTATATAAAATTATAAAAATGAGATGAATAATAAATTTTATACTAAAATTTTATTTAAAATCAAAAATTACTAATTCAAATTTAAAATCAATTTTTTTTCAATTATAAAATATGGTTATGGGTTAAGTAATGGGAGACTAATATATAAGAAATAATTTAGATTATTTTGTTTTATTATTTATAATGTAATTCGATGTTGAGAAAAATGAATATTTATATTTTTTTTTAAATTGATTTTATATAGATTTGTTTGGTAAAACTAACTGATAGCTGATAGTTTATGGATGGTGACTTATAGTTGATAAACTAACATGAGTGAGTATTTGATAAATTAGTTGTTTCATTAGCTCTGATAGATATAAAATGACAAAAAAAATTAATTAATAAGAATAATAATATATTTTTGTTAAAATACTAAGGATATAAATGAAAGAAAAAGTCAAAAGCTAAATGCTACCTGCTCAAAAACTACTTCAAATAGCTTTTGAAAAAAAAACTAAAAGCTAATAAAAAAAGTTAAAAGTTAAAAACTATAAAAGAGTTATCAAATCGAACTTTTTCATTAATGTGAATTGAAAAGCTAAAAGCTAAAAGCTAAAAGTGAAAAGCTCTTTTTTAGGTCTTACCAAATAGAGATACCCGAATCTCTTTGAGACATGTTTAAGATTTAAGTTTTCATCCCATCGAAAATTGAGATGAGAAACGAAGATTGTTCGAATATTCAGGTTTGGATATGAGGAATTGATTATGAGAGAATTGATTTTGTAAAATTGATTTTGATTAAAGTGAATTGAACTATATTTGAATTAAGGATGTCAATTTGTATTTGTTAACGGAGATTTACGTGAGGATTATCTGTTTGGAGCACTGAAGTTGGAGATTTTTTTCCTCGCAAGAACAGAGATGGATGAAAAAGTTTCTCTAATGACACTTTGGGACGGGGATTGGGAAAGTTTCCCCGACTCTGACTATATTATTTAACTTTTATATTTTTATATATTATATAATATATAATTTTACATAAAAAAATATATTAATGTATTAGAAAATGAAGAGTGGATCGTTTTATTTTTATATTTTATTGTATAATGTATTGTTTTCACTACTCAAGTACTCAATCTTAGAAAAGGGCATCAAATACATAGAATGTAAACATTGTCTTCTCATTTTCTTTTTTCAATTATCTTTGTCTCCATCATTCAGCATCTTCTTTATTCTCATCGTCATCAAAACAATCACATTTTTTGTCCATTGTGTTTATGGTAATTACTATTTAAACTCTTTTTACTTCCATTAATAACATGTTTTCCATTCAATTAACTCACATATAATTAATCAATTGGGCTAGATGGCAACAATATTGTGGTAGTAAGTTTGCGGAAGCATAATAGCAACAAGTTCTATTAATATCTATTATTTTTTTACAAAAAAAACATTAGCAACAACAAGTGCTTTTGCTTTTTTTTTTCTTATTGATGCAAGAAAGTTTATGTATTGATAGAAAGTTTGTTATATATATATATATATATATATATATATATATATATATATATATATATATATATATATATATATATATATATATATATATATATATATATATATATATATATATATATATATATATATATATATATATATATATATATATATATATATATATATATATATATATATATATATATATATATATATATATATATATATATATATATATATATATATATATATATATATATATATATATATATATATATATATATATATATATATATATATGTGTGTGTGTGTGTGTGTGTTTTTATTAGAAAAATAATGAAATATTAGGGTCTAGTTTTGATCGAAAAGTATAGAAATTTTTTAAAGATTCGATCTCTGGATTTTCATAGGGATGGAGATGGGAGAAAATATTTTCCCGTGACAAAAATTGGGGACGGAGATGGAGAATAATATTGGGGACGAGGCGAAGAGCAGGAAAGCATCCTCCGAACATTTCTTGCTCCGTTGACATCCCTAATTTAAATACATTTATATAAAACTATAAAAATGAGTTGAATAATAAATTTCAATATTAAAGTAACATTTAAATTTAAAAACTACCAATTAAAATTTTAAATAGAATCAATTTTGAGAGTAGAAACATGAGTTCAATAATAAATTTTAATATTAAAGTCACGTTTAAATTTAAAAACTACCAATTCAAATTTTAAATAGAATCAATTTTGAGAGTAGAAAATAATTCGTCCAAGTTTCACCCGAATTCGCCCAAGTAATGGGAGACTAAATTTTAAGTTTGAGTTTTTTTTTTTTCAATTATAAAATATGGTTACACGTCAAGTAATGGGAGACTAATGTCTACTCCGAATGCGCCTAATTTATTTCCCATATATTTTATTATTTAATTTTAATAATTTGAAATATAATTTGATATATATATGTGTGTGTGAAAAAACTAAATTGTTTTGTTTTATTATTTATAATATAATTTGATGTTGAAAAAAATAAATATTTGTATTTTACAAATTTGATTCTGCTACATGGATGGTGGCGAAGGGAAATACTCAAATCTAGCTTGAATTTGTTTGAGACGTGTATAAGATTTAAGTTTTCATCATGTCAGAAATTGAGGTGAAAAACGACGATTATTCGAAAATTCAAGTTTGAGTATAAAAAAAGTAACAATCATTTAGGATCCGCCTTATTATAATGCCTACCAATATCAATTTTTTGGTGAATTGAAATAAGATTTTCAAATAATTTTATTAATATTTAATTAATAATATTTAGATATCAAAAATTAATTAATGAGAATGCAGTCTAAAAAAAGAAAATAAAAAAAAAAATTGTTTATAGGATAAAAGCATTATTAATCTTTTGAATCATGAAAAAACAAATGTTTGATTATTTTATTTTATGAGATATATAATTTTTATATTCAAAAAGACATTTAACTATATTTTTTATACTTTTTTATATATTTGACTATATTTTAGAACATATATTTATTTATTATAAATAAAAAAATTTATCGAACTGTAATTTCCTCTATCAAATAGCGTCAATCACTACTAAACTAATTAACTATTGATTATTATAATATTTAATTTGATTCAATCAAAAATCATTTAATAATAATGTAAAAAAGGTACATACAACCTAATAAATTAAAAGTATCTTAAATATTAATTATCATAAAGTTTACTATTAATTAAGATTTATGTTATTCTATATTTATTAGATAATTAAATTATAATTGGTAATAGGTTGGGCCGAGTTAGGATTTGTCCAGCATGAGTTTATACAGTTAAAAAATTCAAAGCATAAATTTGGCATATAATTTATCATAAATTTATTTTTAGACTTGAGTATAGTCTTTATTGGTCTACTAGGCTATTTAAAAGTCTATTTCATTTGAATTTATCTATTCGTTTAACTTTTATGATATTATTTGTTTGAAAGAACTTATAAAAATAATTGATGATAACAACTTATAATATTGTTCAGAAAATTTTTTAAATTTATTTTCACAATTTTTAAAGATAATTAAGCTATATTTTTCGTATTTTAGTTCAAAGTACAAAATAGAATGTAATGACTCTGATTGAAAACACCAGGAAAAAAAAGCTTTTAACTTTACAGCTCATATTAACAAAAAAAAAAGTTGATAACTGTTATTTAGTTTTTAGTTTGTAGCTTTTTTCTTAGCTTTTATTTTTTTTTCTCAAAAGTTATTTAAAGTAGTTTTATAGTTTGTAGTTTTGAGCTTGTGACTTTTCTTTTATTTATACCCTATTATTTTAACAAAAATATATTTTTATCCTTTAATATATATATATATATATATATATATATATATATATATATATATATAATTAAAATAGTTTTTGCGTTGTATAATTGTGTTGATTAATAAGAAAATACAATATTTAATGTTTTTAACAACATTCAAATTGCATATTTTATAATGAATTTAGAGATAGTGTTGCTAATTCTT